AATGTGGAGCGGGGCTGGGGCAGGGCAACTAGGAAGTTGCCAAGTTTCCATGAAAATCAACTGTGGGAGGCCTCAGCCTCGAGAAGGTGTCAGTAGGGAATCTTGGGTCCAGATAGGATCAGCCCAGGGAAATGTAACACATTCATACATACATGCATGCATGCGCACGCGCGCGCACACACACACGCGTGCACCCTGCTTGGAGGGCAGCAGTACTGTTTCTTTTTGGTTTGGTTTTTTTTTTAAAGAATTTATTTATTTGACAGAGAGTGAGAGAAGGAGAGAGAGCACAAGCAGGGGGAGCAGCAGAAGGAGAGGGGGAAGCAGGTTCCCTGCTCAGCAGGGAGCCCAATACCAGGACCCTGAGATCATGACCTGAGCCGCAGGCAGAGGCTTAACCCACTGAGCCACCCAGGTGCCCCTGCAGTACTGTTTCTTGAAAAAAAGACCCGATAAATAAGACCACTGGCTTCTGAGCCTGACCACAGTGATTCCAGTGCCCTAGGTCACTTCCTGGTAATCTCAGTGAGTTTCTGAACTGGTTACCCACACGGCCCACGCCCTGCCCCAGGCCTCCTTGGCTCACCTTCTCCACGAGACCTCCCCTGATCACCTTAAATCAAACTGCAGCCTCCCCTCCATCCCCTACTCCTGCTCTGCTTTATTTTTTTCCAGGGCACTAAGCACCACTTGACATAACCATGGTTTACTTTATCTGGTTTGTTGCCTTGTTAATGTCAGTTCGGTGAGGGTGGGGATTGTCTCTTTGGTCTATGGTCTCTCTAATGCCCAGGACGGTGGCTAGCACGTGGCAGGTACACAAGGAATATTATAGAGTAAATGTGTGCAGTTCTCTGAAGATGAGTTTTCTCATCAGCAAAACGGAGATGGTTCTACCTCCATGGGGTTCATGTGAAGGTAAAAGGGTTTCGGGCTGTAGGTGAAACACCCAGCCCTTAGTGGGGGCACTAGTATAGTTCACAGTTACAGCTTTCCTTCAGTGAGATGTCATCATGAACGGGCTTCTCATTATCACCCCTTAGCCCTTTGGTCTTTATTTAAGAACACCTTTCACTGGGTCTTACCTTGCCTCCCTGAACCCTGAGCCCAAGCGCTTACCTCTGTCCTAGTTCTACAAAACCGCTCATTGGTAAAGACAAGGGAACCAGAGATTGGGTCCTGTCTCCAAATATTTGTTAGGAAACTGAGTAAATGAACTAATCCATTCCTAGGAAAGCAAGCTCTTAAAAATAGAAAGGCAATTTGAATAGGCAGGCAATGTGTCACCTATAAAAAAAGAGAACAGGTATTTCTCGTATCTGTTACGTGTGCCAGATGGCGGGTTAGGCACCTGACATGGCTTATGTTATTTTACCCTTGTGTCAACCTTACCAGGAAGGTATCTAAGAAGGAAGAAATTGAGGCTAAGAGGCTATGACACCAGCCTGAGACCTCACAGCACTCAGCAGTGGGGCAGGAACTAAAGCCAAAGTTGCACAAGCCCCAGAGCCTAGGTTCTTCCTATAGCCTACCCCACCTTCTTTGAAACTTCCCTTGATAGGAGGTCTCTCTGCCAAGCTAGGGAGTTTGGATATATTCTGCAGGCAATTCTAAAAATAAAAAAGCTACTGAGTGGAGATATACGAGAACTCCTAGGAAGGAAGAATTAATTTTGCCTGCAATAAATCAGAGAAGTTACAGAGCGGAGCTGCCGGGGATTTGTATTTCTGGTTCATTAACTCCTCTTTGTGGGGGCTATCACTGGCGTTGGGTTCCAACACAAGACAATGAACAGCCCTCTCTCTTCACACGAGTCTTCCATCTTGTCCTATTTTCAGCAGCTCATTTCTTTGGGATTTTTATCTATAGCCTTGTGCATCATTTCATTGCCAGAATTCAGCACGTTCTGGCAACAGCTACTTTCTGAGGGGCTGGGACCACCCGCGTTACAAACCTGTAAGAAAAAGCAGAAAGCAGGGACTCTGAACCAACTCTTCACGTTCAACAACTTCAAGCAGGGAGCTTGAAGTCAGCCACGGTGAAAGTCTTTATTCCCCAGAAACTGACAAATTCTACAAATCGAGGTTTTTTGCCCCCTGCTCTAGAGAGCCAGTTGTGAAACACGGCACCAACAGGTGACTGGCACAGCTATTGTCAAAGGAGTCCGAAAACTTGAGTTTTAGCTTCATGTCATTCACTAACTCACTGTAAAGCTTACAAAGTCATTTCACTTCTCTCAACCTCAATTTCTTTATCAATTGAATAAATGCAGGGAGACTGAGCAGATTAAAAAAAAAAAAACAGACCTCCTTAGCAATCTGTCAAGCAATTTTCAATAATTAAAAAAAAGGGGGGGACACCACGGTGGCTCAATCACTTAAACGTCTGCCTTCGGCTCAGGTCATGATGCTGAGATCTTGGAATCAAGTTCCACAGGCTCCCTGCTCAGCGCAGAGCCTGCTTCTCCCCCCGCCTCTGCCCCCTTCCCAGCTCATGCTCGCTGCCTCTCTCTCTCTCTCTGTCTCTCAAATAAATTAAAAAAATACTTAAAAAGAGAGAGGAGAAGAGAAACATTCATTAATCCCCTCAGAAGCTCAAACAAGTTAACATAATAAATAAATTGTGTCTAGCGGTGAAAATCTTTCAAAATCTGAAACCGGGGGGGGGGGGGGGGGGGAAGAGCAATTAAAGCAATCAGCCCTCCGTTGCCTTCAGCCCAATACGCAGAGCACCTGAAATGGGGCAGTCTCTGCCAGACATTGACACTATCATGCTGAAGAAGCACCAGTCTGCCAACCCCCACCCCCACCCCGGGAACTTACAGGGGAGGCAGACAGAGAGACAAGCAGGCATGCATCTTAATAAATGGAATCTGGGACTCTGATGGGGTCGGAACCAGGCTTTAAGACGGCATACAGTAGGGGGCACTATCCAAGTTGGAGAGCTGAGCAAGGCTTGGGAGAAGGAACATCTAATGGGAATTAGGTCCAGAGACTGAACATCTTAGGAAAGTTGGGGATTTGCAAGTCGTCAAGACTAGCTGGAAAGCTTGGTGCAAGTCATTCCTGGAACATTGTGTAGAGCCTTTGGTATCAGGTAAAAGAGTTCAGAATTTATCGTTAAGGGGAGTAACTTAAGCTTTAAAAAGCTCATTCAGGCTGTTATGTGGAAAATAAATGGAAAGGAAGCAACGTTGGAAGCTGGGAGACCTCTTGTAGCAAATGAGAGTCTGGGGACCTAAGTGAATGGATTAGGGCCTCATGATACTGTGATTTATAGTAAGAAATTCATATTTGGTCTTTGTCCCCAGTCCCTGACACAGGGCTACCAAAACCCTTGTAAATTCCTAAGTGAGAAGAACGCTAGGAACATCTTTTATTTTACTGAAGGGACTCTAAGTGGGCTCCTGATGGTTCTGGGTAGGGGTTGCTCACCAAAAAGACCAAGCCATCATTCAAAGCTTAGAATTTCCAGCTACCCACGTCGGCCACCACTTCTCCGGACAAGGGATAGGGGCTGAATATGGAGTTAATAATTGATCGTGGTGTGCCTGGGTGGCTCAGTGGGTTAAAGCCTCTGCCTTTGGCTCGGGTCATGATCTCAGGGTCCTGGGATTGAACCCCACATCAGGTTCTCTGCTCAGCAGGGAGCCTGCTTCCTCCTCTCTCTCTGGCTGCTTCTCTGCCTACGTGTGATCTCCATCTGTCAAATAAATAAATAAAATCTTTATAAAAATAATAATAATAATAATAATAATAATTGATTGTGCCTGTGTGCGGAAGCCTCCATGAGACCCCAGTAGCAGAGGATTTGGAGAGCTTCCAAGTGGGTGAACTCTCCCACCTCCATAGGGACAGACGCTCTAGTGCTCCGGATCCTCCCAGACCTCACCCTATTTTTTCATGTGGCTATTCATCTGTATCCTTTATCATATCCTTTAATAAACTGGTAAGTGTTTCCTTAACTTCTGTGAGGTATTCTAGCAAAAATCAAATCCAAGGAGAAAGAAGTCATGCAAACATCCAATCTGTAGCCAAGTCAGACAGAAGATGTAGGTAACTTGAGGACTTACACTTTGGGGTGGCATTTGAAGTCGGGGGTAGTCCCTTGGGACTGAACTCTTAACCTGTGGGATCTGACACTATCTCTAGGTAGACAGTCTCAGAAGTGAGGTAAACTGTAGGATACCCAGCTTGTGTCACAGAATTGCTTGGTTTTGGGAAAAAAAACCCACACATTCTTGACCAGAAGTGTCAGAAGTGTTCTCTGTGAAAGCAAAGGATAAGACTCTCAGGTTTTTCCAATACAGGCTTTCTGCTTTTTGAGTGTTCGTTTTCTTTGGGGGGCTCTCATGTCTATGTAAACGTCTGTGTGCTTTTCTTGTTTGTCTGTCTTGGTCAATTTAATTCTCAGATCCAGTCAGAAACCCAGATAGAATGGGGCAAAGTTTTGTCTCCCCTACAGAGCCTTTAGAGCTCCAGACCTGATTTTTATTTATTTATTTTTTAAAATAGATTCCACACTCAATGTGGCACTCAAACTTGGGACCCTGAGATCAAGAGGCAGATGTTATACTGACTGAGCCAGCTAGAGGCCCCGCTGATTTTTACCTCTGTATTCTGCCAATTGTCTTCTCAATTTAAAGGTCTTTGTCTTAAGACAATCCAAAATAATAGGTGAGGAGGGTTGGGGTAAGGAAGGAATTGCCCTTAATGTCCTCCTTGCTGGTAGACTTACTCCCTTGAACTGTCAGGTAATTCTTACAGAAAATCCTCTTGAAAGACCTGACCCTTTCTTGAAGGATTTTGCTAAAAAGGGCAAGAAATCACAGAAATTAAACAGAAAATTAAACAGAAACTAAGAGCATTAAAATGACATCAAGAGCCCACAGAATCTGTGTGAAACTAAAAAAAAAAAAAAATTCAAGATTAAGCATCCAAGATAAATATCTAAAACCAAAACCCTGGCCTCAGGAAGAAACTGCTGTTTCTGTTGCCGCCATGTTGCCTCATGCCATCATTGGCTCTGTGGCCAGCATCTCTGTTTGACTCCAACCACGACTGTGCCAGTTAATGCTGTACCTTCCAGTCAAGAACTCAAGTCAGCTTGCAACTACGGCAGCCCTGAAAGCCATTCACCTCTGCCACCACCCTTGCCAGGAAAATGGTGTCCACTCCAAGCCTTCTTCCTCAGATCCCTCCCTCCTGAATCAAAGTCTCACATGACTGGGTCTCACTGGCACAGAATAGTTCACGGGCCTGAAGCCTTACCACAAAAAGACATGGGAAATACCTTTCCGGGTGCCCCCTTGGGGAAATGGGACTCATGGGGCTGGAAATTCCCCACACAGTGAAAAGTGCTGAGAAGCCAGAAAACAAAGCGTCTAATACAAGGTTTACATGGGGCACTCGAGGGAGCAATCCTGTAGATGATGAACATGTATATCTGTAGTTCAGGAAAGCCAGGGAGCATAGAGATGGTGTCACGGGTTAAACTGTGTCCCTTACCCCCATATTCATATGTTGATGCCCTAACCTCTAGTACCTCCTTACGAATGTGTCCTTATTTGAAGATGGGGTGATCAAGTTAAAATGAGATAATTAGGGTGGCCCTAATCTAATATGACTGGTGTCTTTATAAAAAGGGGAAATTTCGACACAGGAGGAAGACCATATAAAATGAAGGCAGAGATCTACAAGCCAAGGAGCAACAAAGATAACCAGTGAGCCACCAGAAGCTAGGGAAGAAGGGTAGAACAGACTTTTCCTCACAACCCTCAGAAGGAACCAACCCCTCCATCTTAGACTTCGAGCTTCCAGAATACAAGACAACAAATTTCTGTTGTTTGAGCCACCCAGTCTGATGTTTGTTACTGCAGCCCTAGGAAACAAATACAGATTGTAGCGATGCAAAAGCATAGAACAGGGAAGGCCAGGGAGGACCAGTATCTGGGGGACTTAGTGAAGAGAAACCAGCTCTTCCTTTGTGATAAGAGGAGGAAAAGCTGGGCGTGGATTGTCTGAGACTGGATTCCTCTGAAGAGGATGCCTGTGCAGGGATTTACTAGGAAACGTTCCAGGGAACAACATGTAGGAAAGTGGAAAGAAGGAGCAGGAAGGAAAGGGGCAGAGCAAAAATGCCATGACAGCAAAGGGTCCTGAAGGGCAACTCGATGTGGGCTCACCCCTCAGGGGAGCTCTTACGCCTTAACGTTGTCCCAGTCTGAGGGTAAGCTTGCTGGAGTAGCTATCCTCCCAGGCCGCAAGTCAGAGGTTAAGGGCTGCCCTTTGGAAGTGGGGGATGAGGTTAAATTTCTAGCCATTTCTGGTTTTCTGCCGCAAAGGACTTTGGGTAGCCCGAGGGCAGTCCTCAGGCAGAGACAGGGGTGCTGGCTGGGCAGCGGAAGAACAGGGGGAGTTGGTGTGCTCTCAGGCCGTGAAAAAGTCCAAGGCTACACAGATACAGGTTGGGAGACCATTAAGACGTTGACACAAGAGAGGTTCTAGATCCCCTTCTGTTCTAATGAAGGGGGTTTCAAGTATGAAAGAGAAAACGGATCAGGAAACCACAGAAAGATCACCAGGCAACACTGAAGACCCAGCTGCGAGAGACCGTGACCTTGTTAGAGCAACAAACACCAACAGCAAGCAGGTGTGACAGGATAACCAGGAAAAGAGGAACTTAGAACAGAGAAAGTGAATAGAGACCCAGAGGGGGCCAGTGTCTGGCAGTTTTTGTTTGTTTGTTTGTTTGTTTGTTTGAAGATTTTATTTATTTATTTGAAAGAGAGAGAGAGGGGAGAAAAGTCAGCAGGAGAAGCAGACTCCCTGTCGAGCAGGGAGCCCTATGTGGGACTCGATCCTGGAACTCCAAGATCATGACCTGAGCTGAAGGCAGTCACTTAACCAACTGAGCCACCCAGGCACCCCAGTGTCTGGCAGTTTTAACCAATTTGAAGAACAGGTCTAATGGGAACAACTGGGTGGGAAAACAGAGAAGGGTGGGAAGGCGTGGTGCACATTTGAGAGTTAAGAAAGGAGTCCTGGGGAGTCAAGGCCCAGCGTGTGGCCACCGCAGTGGATACCATAGGTGGAGCAGAAGTGATGGTAACTGGAGTTGAGGAGGTCAAAGAACTAACAGGTCACACTTGCCATATCACTGACTGCCTGGGCTGCCCACTCCTCCTCATCTCTCCTCCCCCCCGCAGAAGCCCGGGGACCAGAGCAAGAACTCAGGACCAGGTCACAACCATGTCACAACCATGCTAGCCTCAACTGCAGCAAAGATGACACATGACTTAGAAACTTCATTATGTAACTCAAAGACTTTATTATTTAGCTTTACTATTTAGCTCACAGGAACTCAGACTCTACAAGACGGAAGACAGAAATAATTTAAGAAACATCCACAGCAGTGATGGGTCCAGTTTCTTTGAACAGTATCCCAGAGATGTTAACCATCCTTTCAAGATTCAAGATGGCCAAGAAGCAACAGACTGTCTCCTTGGTTTAGCCATTGGACTTGAGGATGGAGAGAATGCTGAAAACTATAAGGACTTGGTACCAGGTAATGCAAAACATATCGACGGTGAACAAAAAATGCAGAACCAGGGGTGCCTGGGTGGCTCAGTGGGTTAAAGCCTCTGCCTTCAGCTCAGATCATGATCCCAGGGTCCTGGGATCGAGCCCCGCATCGGTCTCTCTGCTCAGTGGGGAGCCTGCTTCTCTCTCTCTCTGCCTGCCTCTCTGCCTACTTGTGATCTCTGTCTGTCAAATAAATAAATAACATCTTTAACAAAATAAAAATAAAAAAATAAAAATTCAGAACCATCGATCAGTCTGGATGTAAATAACCCAGGTTTTCAGGCTGATGTGATGATTTTGGCTAAGCTTCTTTGGGAAGTCGTGGTGAGGACTCGGTCATGCTTAAGGCAATTTGCGTTTTTGTTCAAGAGCTCCTGAAGCATCTCGGAGGTCCTGGAGGGAGGATGCAGTTGCCAAAGCACTCAAACAAAAGGAGGGCTTTGTCTGGCGCCTTCACCAAGAATATCTCATAGCAGGAGATCCAGTCTTAAAGAAGCAGCTCAAATTCCACCATTGCCACACATTAAGGAGCTCAGGCCAAGGGTGGTGGCGGGGGGGACAGACCAAGACTGGGGAGACTGGGGAAAGCCGGAGGATGAACACTGTTAGGAGTTCAACTTCTCGCCTGCTTCATACAACCGGAAATCACGTACGCTCTGGCATATGCCTGGAAATCGAATGCCACATTTTCGAGGGAGGTTACCCGAAAGATTGATGATGTTCTAGGGATTGACCATCATTGCTTTTTCTTTAATAAAGTTCAGGAAACCGTGGACAAGAGAAAGGAACGGGATCCCCTGGGGGGACTCAGTTGGTTAGGTTTCTGACTCTTGATTTCGGCTCAGGTCACACTCTCAGAGTCCCACATTCAAGCCCCATGTCTCCCTCTCTTTCTGCCCCATCCCCCAGCTCACACTTTCACACTCTCTAAAATAAGTCGATAAATATTAAAAAGATAGAAAAAGGAACGAACAGGGTGGATGTGGGCTGGGTCATTGGCATGAACACTGAAGACTTGGAGGAAGGCTGAGATGCAGGTGCACAGCACAGCAACACTAAGGGAATAATTATCACTAACATTTACTGAGCGCTCCCCATGGGCCAGCGCTGTGCTGAGTGCCCCCACATGTCTCTATCCCATATCGCCTTTCTTCTCTTCCTTCGGGTCTCAGCTTAAGTGGCCCCTCCCATCTAGACCCCCTCCCCAACATTTGCCCTCTTTATTCTCTACCTCAAGCCCTTCATAAAATATACAACAATTTATAATTATTTTAGGCTGTCTACTTTCTAGCTGAATGAGTGTTGGATGCCAATAACCACTCGACAAGATGGTTGCTATTACTATCCCATTTTACACCTAAGAAAATAGAAGCTCAGGGGCGCTTGGGTGGTTCAATCAGTTGAGAGTCTGCCTTTGGCTCAGGTCATGATCTTGGGGTCCTGGTATATGGTCCTGCATCGGGCTCCCTGCTCAGTGGGGTGGTCTCCTTCTCCCTCTCCCTCTGCAGCTCTCCCTGCTTGTGCTCTCTCTCTCTTGTTCTCTCAAATAAATGAATAAAATCTTAAAAAAAAAAAAAAAAAGGAAAGAAAGAAAGAAAAGAAAATTGAAGCTCAGATATTAAGTTGCCCACGATCACATAGCTACATAGTGGCACACCCGAGGCTGGAGCCCAGGAATACGTGACTTCATAAGCCTACATTCTTGATGATTCCAGCTCCAAAAGATGAGCAGTGAGCAAGAGGAGATAACCAGGAAGTGGGGAGAGGACGGGGCCAAGCTGGGCATACTGGGTGATACAGTAGTTATAGGAACAAGGCCTTCATGCTAGAGATGGTTCAGAAGTAGCCCTCGGGAGGAAAGAGGTCTCCTAACTCACCTCCTGCCCCCAGGTGTTAGAGAAGCCGGCAATGAGGACGATCCTTTTGAAAGAGCTGCAGGGAAAACTTTTAGAGGGGCAGTCAAAACCCCACAGCTTAAAGGTTAAGTACCTGCCAAGCTAGATCCGGCTTCCTTCCGTGATTTCACAATACTCCACTGGGAGCAATCCATATTTTATTTCCCAAATGCATCTTGTATATTTCTCCCTCCAAGACTTGGAAGCTTGTCATTCTTCCCACCCCCAAATATATTCCCCATCTCTTCTTCACTCCCTCCTCTGCTGCGAGTCTACCTAATTTTCAAGTCATGGCCCAGGTTCAATTCCTCCACTCACCCTCTCCTAAAGACACCAGCCTCAATCAGCCTTGTGACTCTTTCTATTCTCAGAATGCCACTAGCCTGTGCCACTGACAGAGACCAACTAGCCTTCCTGGCGTCCCTGAAGCACCGAGCGGCATATTGCTTCCCACAGATCCATTTCCTGGCTGATACCTGGCTGTGGAGGAAAGGGAAAATGAGTTGGCAATGCATAGCTGGCTATTAATTGGAAGCCCAAGGCACTTATCGCCCCATATCTAGCTTCTAGCAGCCTCCCATAGGCCCCATTAAGTTTCTGCCTATTTGATTCTGAATTATAATTTGAAGCCATTTATCAGTTTTGCACAGCAAACTTCGAAGGAGTTCAGCTGGCCTCCAGAGACACTGTCCTCAGATTAATACCAAGCTAACAACCTAGCTGGGTGTATTAGTAAACTGTGTAGTTTGCCAGCTAATATCAAGTCAAAAACAGAAGCAAGCAAGAAGAGATCAGGGGCTGCTGCTCAACAGGGACCATTTCCCAAGAAAACTTCCAAGACACTGAAGTGCAAAGATCCAGAACTAAATAAATTTCTGCTTAGCCATCCTGAGTCTGTTCCTGACAAAGTTTAGAAGAAGCAAAGCAGCTATAAATCTTTCTCTGTGGAAGTTTTAAGACACGGCGCAGCATGGTAACTCCTATCCACAAAGAAAATAATTCATAAACACAAAGGGCAATTAGTCAAGAACGTGAAGACATGATTCTTTTTCCAGTTCTGCCCTGGATGATGCCCATTCCTTTCCCTCTCTGGATCTCAGTTTCCACACCTGAAAAATGAGGAAGTTGAGCCATATACCTCCAAGGGACCTTCCAACCATAAAATCTGTTAACTGCTTTCTGCTCTCCTTATTACAAAACATCCAATTATTCATTAAAAATCATCAATCATAGGCTATCCTCAGGGCCACCACATACAACTGTTCAGGTTGTACACTGAACAAATCCAGAGGTCATCATTCACATTATAGTCTGTGTAAACTATACCCTTGTGTTGGGTGGTGCACAACGTAAACACCCATACATCACGACCTTGATTACGCTCTTCAATCTTGTAAATATTTAATGTTTCACTTTTTATTTTCTTAATACCCATCATTTCCCAACCTTGGGTTCCTAGCAGCAGAGATAAAACTACGTTAATATCTGGTACTAAGCAAAGTATTCTTTCACAGATTAACTCTTACTTATGGACCAGAACTGAGGACAGTAACATTAATACACTCTATTTATTGGTCCCCTACCATGTGCAAGACATTTACATCTATTACTACATATACATATTTAATCCTTATGAAATCCTATGAAGTATAAATTATCATCTCGATCCTTGGATTAAGTAAAGGAGATTAAGTAAACTGCCCAGGGTTCATAACCATAGCTAGAAAGGGGCTGGGACAAGGATTCGCACCCACCCCTGAGTCCAAAGTTCATCCTCTTTTAATTCCACTATCCATTTCACCCTATATGCTCTGGAACCCTGCCCTGCACTCTGCCACAAACCTGATGGTGTTGTGACATCAGTGAACAAATGCAAGTAATTAGAATATTCAGTTAACTGGAAACAGCAGTAACGGAGCATAACCACACTGGAATAGAAAGCCAGCACTCTCCAATTTCCGTCGTGATGTTGTCACTAACTAGCCATGTATTCATTAGGTTCTCTCAAAACCTCAGTGTTCTCATCTGCCAAATAGGGGTGATGGCTTGGGTCCTTTTAAGGCTATTCAAGTACAAGCGATTCCTATAGCCACAACAACTTAATTATTTGCATTCTCTGACTTTTAAAGCTTGTCAGTCTTTTTGGCCCCAATTAAACTCTTGACTCTCTCAATCGATGACCACTTTAGCCACCAGGGAGAATTCCTCATGGTCCCTGTTTCTTCTGGCGTCCCTAAGGTCAGTCGTTCCTGTACTTCCCCCCTTGCTCTCAAGACCCCAGATCTGAGAGTTTATTCCATATAATTTACAGAATTACATTCCATACAATTTGTAGCCTTTTAGACACTTGCTTATTACCATCACTGCCCTTGTTTGCTTCCCTCTCAGGTCTCTAGCTTTTAGGGGATCTTCCCAGTGAGTCATGCACTGCATTCCTAAAGAGGGTTGGCATGAGAGCTGTGGTCAAGCAGGGGTGAGATGGAAGAATGGAAACTGTTTGCTCTTCACAGACCCTGTCTTTTGACTCAACATCACCCAACAGAACTAAAAGACATCCGAATGAGGAAATGCACAAACTTCGGATGCAGACCGGTTTTCCCAGTCACTCCAAATAGTCGGGTCGCTGTGATGCTGATTAGAAGGGTGGACACAAGCAGAGACTTAAACAAAATTATAACCTGTGCGTTATTTTCCAGGTATAGCTAAAATTTTATGCTTCATAATACTTAGATGCAAGATATACTCTTTTCCTTCTCTTTCTATGCCAAATTCTATCTGGTTCTGAACTCTTACCTGTCTGGATAGAAAAATGTAATCCTAATTGGAGGGAGGCCTGCACTTTCCCAGAACTGTGCTTGGGTATCAGGGCCTTAGGCAATCCTGAAATTGGGGGTAAGATTCTCTGATCTTTAGTCTATCCAAGTTGATGGTGAGATGCTCGCTATCCAAAACCATATGGCCCATTAAAAGACAACAGCCCAGGAGCACCTGGGTGGCTCAGTGGGTTAAAGCCTCTGCCTTCAGCTCAGGTCATGATCCCAGGGTCCTGGGATCGAGCCCCGAGTCAGGCTCTCCACTCGGCAGGGAGCCTGCATCCCCCTCTCTATCTGCCTGCCTCTCTGCCTACTTGTGATCTCTGTCTGTCAAATAAATAAATAATATCTTAAAAAAAAAAAAAGATGACAGCCCATAGCATCCACTGCTTCCATGTCCAGCCCAACCATGGAGACCCCACTCACCCCCAAAACTCCCATGATGCTTAGGGTCTGAACCTCAGGGCTCCATGCAGCACTTAAAGCAGAGTTGCTGTCCGTCCTGGAGTGCCGAATGATGGCTGGCCAGGCACTGGTTTCTGCCACTCTTGGGACCACCACAGCCACCAGGGAGAGTTCTCTGTGGTCCCTGCTTCTTTGTGGCTCCAGCCCAAGCTATGCAAGTCTTGAAAAGAAGGATATGATGGGTGAAACCTAGAGCACAGGTTCACACTTTAGCTGCAAGGAATGCTGGGAAAACAAGTGTTAGGCTTTATAGTAACTAAACTGAGAGGCAGGCTTTGCCTCTCGCTGAGACACATGAAGTGGGGAATCCCCTGAACAGGGCACGGGCAGGAAATAAGAATAGCAAATGTCTAAACAGCTTCAACCTGTGGATCCTGGGGAAATCCCTGTCCTCTCTTAGCTTCAACTCCATCCGCCAGAAATAAAGACAACAGCA